AATATGGCTGTGAGATATAGAGTCTTTGACTACACTTGTATAGACAGGAGAAAGAAGGATTGTGGATACTGCTAAAGAAATTGGCAAAGTCGTTGTAAATGACTGTGGCTCACTAAAAACAGAATCCGTTCAACTTCCGTTGTCCCTTCCCATTCTGATGTTGTTTAGACCCTTCTTCAGTTTCATTGAAAGAAGAGTTTTGTAAATGATCTAAACCAGAATGGTCGTCCACGTGGTCCGTTACTCTTATCAAAATGATCAGTTAGGGATTCCAAAGAAAGGTTTGAAGATGGAATATTACTATTTTCAACAATATTCTCTCAAAGATCCGACAGAAAAATATCAAAAACAAATTAAGCTAGCGTTAGAAAATTCAAAAGCAATACTAAATCCAATAGAACAGAAATACCTCAATATCATGAACCCACAGCCTCCTAAATTATACTCTTTCATTAAACTACACAAACCGGATCACCCAATAAGACCTGTAGTTTCTTTTTATACAGATCCGTCATATAAACTTTCAAAAAAACTGTTAGAGATTATTTTAGAACACACTAAATTTTCACCTAAATTTACCATAAAAAATACAATAGAACTAGTTAATATAATACAACATTTTCAATTTCCTAACAACTCCAGATTAATTTCATTTGACGTAAAAATCTTTTTCCTAGTATCCCTCCTACAGAAACTTTTATTCTAGTAAAAAACCTTTTAGACCAAAATAGTACAAATCCAATAATTACATCTGAAATCTTACATCTTCTTGAAGTTTGCATAAACCAGGACTACTTTGAATTTAATAATAAAATATATACAAATAACAGTGCAGGACTTATAATGGGTAATCCTCTAAGCCCAATGCTATCAGATATTTTTATGGATCATCTAGAGACAAAGATTTCAAAACATCCCGTATTCAAACAGTTTTTATATTGGTGGAGATACGTAGACGACGTACTGGTATGTTTCACAGGAACTAACAGGCAACTCGACCAATTTTTATCGTATATTAATTTACTTCAGTCATATTAAATTTACAATAGAAACAGAACAAAATTAATGCATAATTTTTTTAGATTTAAAAATTAGCAGACTTCAAAACAAACATGACTTCTCCATATTTCATAAACCTACCCATACTAATTACTATTAAACTGGGAATAAGCCACAAATAAAGATAAAAATATGTTTATTGACGTTTAAATTTCCACTTCGGAAATCGTTCCCAAAATACAAATCTGTTTTGTATTTTGAGAACGATTTCCGAAGTGGAAATTGAAACGTCAATAAACGTATTTTTATCTTTAATTGTGGCTTATTCCCAGTTTAATAGTAATTAATTTACAATGCCACAAGAAAATAGCTTTAATACCCATATTGACACGACTATACTCAATTCATCATCCCATCCAACACAACATAAACTGGCTGCTTATTATAGTATGTTACATAGATTAACAGAAATTCCGATGTCAAAAGACAACTTTGAGACAGAATTGAATATAATTAAGCAAATAGCAGTAAACAACGGATACAACGAACAAGCAATTAATAAAATGTTAAATCAAAAACTACACAAGAAAGCCCTGAAATTAGTATTTCCACCACCAGAGAAAAAACTCAGTACCTTCTGCTCGATTCCATATACAGGCAAAATAATAACAAAAATTGCCAAACACATAAAAAAGAAAGGAATAACACCAGCTTTCCGAACAAATAACAACCTAGGCAAATAGGGGAAGGGCGGGTAAAATGGCATAGGCGGGCAAAATGGTTTTTTGTTCTCGTAGTCAAGCTAACGGTTCTACGTCACTGTAATTCTGGATACTTATTACAAACAGTGGCAACACTGTCCACATTAAGTCTCGTGCACCTAATTTAACGGCCGTCCACGAGATTGGTGTATTTGTGAATAAGTGCTGGTCGAGTTCGATGGGTCAATGTAAGTTATATTCAATAATTTATTAAATTAAGGTTATAGAGCTTTTTGAATTCTATTTTTGACAATTATGTTTTATACTCTGCATGTGACCTTAAATAAAAATTGTATTTATTTTCGTTATTAATTTTTTTCAACTATCAGTAGTCGACAAATACAAAACGGGCAAAATGACATAGCATTATGGCGGGCAAAATAACATACTATGCCATTTTGCCCGTCTGTTTTTCAGGTTAAGGTACATATTCAGTTTTTTTTTGCAGATGGTTTATTCATATAAAAGGAAGTCTAACAGAAATAGTTGGAGTGAGGAGACATGCAAAGAGCTTTGGAGGCAGTCCGAAATTCCGAAATGGGTTGGCTTAAAGCAAGTAATACATTTCATGTACCGTTCTCAACACTACAACGTCGAGCAGGTAATAAAAATAAAATTGCCATTGAAGCGAATAAACATTTGGGCTCCCTGGCAACAGAATCCTGCGCAGAAAGCATTATTAATTTTAAACGGACACTCCAGTCATAAAAGCTACGAAGCTTTAGAATTAGCTAAACAGAATTCAGTGGTATTACTTTGCCTGCCGGCACACTGCACGCACCACCTTCAGCCATTGGATGTTGCCTTTTTCGGACCACTCCATAAATATTATAATCAAGCTGTTACTCATTGGCTCAGAGAAAATCCTGGTCGTGCAATAACCATATATCAAGTGTCCAGTCTCTTCCAGAAAGCATATGAGAAAACAGCAAATATTGAAATCGCAATCAATGGTTTTCGGGCCACAGGAATATCACCTATCAATCGTGACATTTTTCCGGAGCATTCATTTTTGCCTAGTGCAACTACAGATGTGCCTGGTTCTACTAATAAACCTGACATTGCTTCTACATCTTTACCTGCTGATGTTAATGTTCCTCACGCTGCAACTTACGATCATCATGATGTCCAAGAACTATCGGCATCTGGTTCTAAAGATGAATCTGTTGAAGGAATCCTGATGTAATTGACACCGGTACCTCAGAGTAATGTAAGAAAATCTACCAAACGCAAATCTGGTCAATACCAAGATGTATTATCCGAGACCCCCTTCCTGATATATCTCCGCGAAAAAGAAAATGAAAAAAAAGCACAAGAAATAAAAAGCAGAAAAGGGGACGTCGTGAGAAGAAAAATAGTCAATGATTTAAGTGATGGAAGACGCATGTAAACAAAGATAGACATTAGTCGGAGAGAATAGGCAAGAGAAATATTGTGATCAGACCAATACTGAACAATATATCAAGTGATGAAGAAGCACCCTTTAGTATTAATGATGATGAACAATTTACTGCAATGACACATTTAATAGGTCCAAATCTAATGAAAGATGGTTAAGATGCCAAATTTGCCAAAACTTGTCACATTCAGAATGTGCTGGACTTCCCAAAAAAGCAAAACAATTTATTTGCGAAGTTTGTTTAAACTAAAATGTTTAATTTCAATTTTTTTTCTTCGTAAAAATAAAAATTTATAATTATTTTTGTATTTAACACTATTGTTTATGTGTATGCCATTTTGCCCGCACCGGGCGGGCAAAATGGTTTTTTGTTACATTTTGATTTTGATTTTTTTTTAAATAAATCTCTTTGTATGAGTGATTTTTTGTTACTTAGAATAGTAGAAAAATGACCTGGCTATCATTATACATCAAAAGGAATGATTTATCTCTATTTATGTCTCAGATATATGGAAAATAAACTAAGTATGCCATCTTGCCCGCCCTTCCCCTATATTAAAAATAACAAGAGCCAAAATAAAAAACACTTAAATAGTGGTGTGTACAAACTTCAATGTGGCGACTGCCCAAAAACTTACATCGGTCAAACTGGTAGAAACTTTGATAAACGAATAGCAGAACATAAAAGGGCTTTCAAGAATAGAAAAAACAGATTCGACATACGCACTTCACCTTCTAGATCATAATCATTCTTTTAATGACAAATTTAAAATTTTTCACATTCAAAGTAAAGGCCTTAAGCTATCTTTGTTAGAATCTATGAAAATCAACAAATTAAAAAACACAGATATAATTCTGAATGACCAACTTGAGACAAACAGTTCCCTCCTCAACCTATTTCATTAGAGACTATAAATTTGTAAACCCAAGCCAAAAATAGATCACTTGAGAAAGGCTATCAGCCGAAACAGCTGTAGTGATAAGATTTAAAATAAATTTTGTGGAAGTTTGAAAACAAAGTTTTCAGTGTTTTATTGTTACAATATTCTCTACGTTTTTCGTAATCATCCTCTGTTGATGACGCTTAGAAACAAATCGTTTTCTTTTAAATAACAAATTTTAGGTAGAATTACACTTACCTTTTTGTAATAAAATAAAAAACCAAACTCGGAAGTAACCTAGCAAATCTTACCAAATCTTTATACTATAAACCAAGCAAGCATCAAAAAAAGTTGCAAAAGACCCAACATTAGTCTGGGTGATGAGGATGACTAAACTGTTCTTACTCTTATTATGACTATTAAGTACTTACCAGATTTTATTGCACCCAGGACATAAACACAATTATTTGAAAATTTTAATATATAAAGTTATTTTCATGAAGACTGAAATAATGAAATATAAAAAGAAACAAATATTATCAAAAAACTTTACTGTAAAATAAACCATTTTCATTTCATAGAATGTACCAGTATTTTGAAATCCAGATTATTGCTTATAATTTTTACATTTTTAAACATTTATTTTAAAGCCTTTGTGAATATTAATCACCTCCACCCGTGAGATATTTAAAACATTTTCTTTCATATCTTATTTTCGTCTACTTCGTTTTTAAAGGTCTTTAGAAACCGTGCTGTGTAGTCCAAGTTTAAATTAATTATTACTTTATATTCTTCAACTTCTGATAATTATTGAGCACAATTGAAAGGAATATAGATTTAACATAAAAGTAACTACAAAAAGCTATGTTAGAATACAATTTGATATACAGCCATCATACATTTTTATTAACAGATGAGATGTTGGCTACCTTGATTCGCTTCTCTTGGTGACAGCTGACAGAATTTAATCACATTTAAAAATAAAAAGTAACTAAAGAACATAATGGTGAGCAATTTTCTAAAATCATAAGAAGAGTCAGTATTGTAACAGGAATTTTCCGTTAATTTGTGATAACTAGGATTTTATACCCGTGACAACTATTTATGTACCTTCTTCGAAGATCATTTCGATAGTTTAATAAAACATTAATCCGGCGTTTCCTCGTGTTTGGCATTGTCAAAATCATAAAAATGGCGGATCCAACCAGTTATAAGAATCGTCTGCAAAATTTTAAGAACAAAGGAAAAGATCAAGATGTAAGTAATTTTTTATATCTACGATTTGGCAATAAGCTTCTGTAGTTGTAAGTGTAATTGCAGTTTTTGGAATATTTGCTATCTAAACCTGATTTTAGGTCATGTCCACATGTCAAGAACACTTAGATATTAACATAAATTTTATAAAAATGAATCAAGTATTTTGTAGTAACTATTCTGAAAATTCAGTTATTTTTTATTATTATTGCTTCATTTAAATAAGTAATCAAAATAATAGTGTGTAGTCTCTTTCTTATCTCTAGATATCTTATTAGACCTTCAACATTGAAAAGTTCATTGCTATAACAATTAAGAAACACCAGTTTCAGGGTTTTGCCTTCATTGTTCTCAATTTCATTGATAGTTTTCATGGATAAGATGATACAAATTTGATATTACAGGATACATTTTACAGAATTTTACTGTAAGACAAAAAATATGACATTTAAAATGTTGAGTCTTCCATTTATTTTCTATTTTTGGTGTTGTTTACAAATTGGTAAATCATTATGGTGTATATTGTCACTAAAATGACATGAAATATATTTAGCAGATATATTGAAATGAAATAAACAATGTCACAAACCGGGTTGCAGTTTTGTATCTTAGTATTAGGCCCCTTCTATTACTTGTATTTTCCTTATAAATGCTTACTTTTTAGATATATGTTCCTGAAATTCATCTTTATATCCTTATCCTCTTAAATTGTATCCTGCTAGGCAGCCTTACTAAAACTTTCTTTTGTAATTTGTAAGAAATTGATTTTTGTTTATTTAATAGCTACCCATATATTTCATTCCTTATTACTTACCTATTCACCAAGTGTAAGTATAATAATCTATTAATCACCTTCCTAGATTTAAAAGGTCTTTAAAAAGTTATATTTTTTTCTGTAGCATATGTCACTGTTAACATTGCAGTAAATAAGAAATACAATACAATAAATTAATGTTCACTCTTTGTTTGTAACTCAGGATCAGGAAGAAAGATATTCTCCTGACTTAAAAATTAAAAGAATTGATAATTATATCAGTCATTCATTACTAAGGCAAGCATGTAGAATCCAAAGATATCATGAGAAATATTTGTATCAGTTATAGTTCCCCTTCAGCAATATAGATGAAAATTAAGAATATGGCTGATCTTACCATGTTTGTTAGTTTTAACTTAGTCTCAGTATGTTTACATATAATTTTCAGGAGATGCGTAGGAGAAGAACTGAAGTTACAGTGGAGCTTAGAAAAAATAAAAGAGAAGAAACTTTGCAGAAGAGGCGTAATGTTCCCATTGTTGACTCAACAGATGAGGATGACATCGAAAAATCTCTATCAAATACAAACTTAGAACAGTTAGTACAGCAAGCTGCAGCTGATGATAATCCAGCAGTACAATTAATCGCTGTACAATCTGCTAGAAAATTGCTCTCTGCTGACAGAAATCCACCCATAGATGCTTTAATAGACAGTAAAATCTTACCTGTACTTGTTAAATGCTTAGAAAGGCAAGATAATCCTTCTTTGCAGTTTGAGGCAGCTTGGGCACTGACAAATATTGCTTCTGGTACCTCAGCCCAAACAAATAAGGTATTGTTGTTATTTTTTAATCACTTATATATCACTAATTATATATCTTTTTTGTATTTAAGGTGGTAGCAGCTGGAGCAGTTCCCCTTTTCCTTATGTTATTACATTCACCACATCAAAATGTTTGTGAACAGGCTGTATGGGCTTTAGGAAATATAATTGGAGATGGTCCTATTCTAAGAGATTATGTTATAGAATTAGGAGTAGTTGATCCTCTGCTATCGTTCATAAAACCAGAAATACCAATTTCATTTTTAAGAAATGTTACATGGGTTATTGTAAATTTATGCAGAAACAAAGATCCTTCTCCTCCTACTAAGACTATCGAAGAACTGTTACCTGCTCTAAATGCTTTGATACATCATACAGATGTTAATGTAAGTATATTTTTAATATTACATTTCTTCTATTTTGTGCCATTTTGTCTTAAGTTTGATTAAAATTTAATTTAGTATAATGATATTAAAAATATAGTTCAGGGAAATTCAAACTGAAGTTAAATAGAGAAGAAGAAAAGGTGTTTATAAGGTAATAATACAGCTAATATTACTTCATGCTTCAAATAATTGCCAGGATCAAAGATATCTAATAGAGACAAGACATGACCAAGGATTGGCGATGAAATTCGAGAATAAATGAGAAATAAGAATTATAATCAGAGTAATAAAATCTTGGAGGATAAGATAAGTTAAAAAAATGCAGAAAACAAAAAACACAGCATACCTTGTAAAAGAAAATTCTCATTAGGTGAATCCCAACATAAAAGAGACTCTACAACTTGTATAGTGTTTCAGTATGTTGTAATTTTTGTGCCTTTTTTAACCTCTTGAAATTTCATTATTTAATTCTTCTTCTTCTTTGGGTGCCGTGTCCGTATTCAGACGTTGGCCGTCATCATGCTTACAATTTCCTGAAACCTTTCTGTGTCAGCTGCTGCGCGAAATAATTCTTCTACTGTGAAACCACACCATTGTCTAATATTACGCAGCCATGAAAGTTTCTTTCGACCAATCCATCTCTTTCCTTCCACTTTTCCTTGTATTATAAGGCGAAGTAAATGGTATTTGGGTCCTCTAATTATATGGCCGAAGTATTCTGTTTTTATATTATCCCATCTCATCAAATTTTTCGTTATAATTACTTTTAATTAATTAATAATTGCAATATTTTTGAAGTGAAAACTTGTATAGGGAGATTTGATAAAAAAAAAATCTTCTAAATGTGCCTATCTTCTAGAGATGTTGGCAACCACATTGACCCATCTTATTCTATTCACAGCCGCTCGAAATAGATCAGTTAACATTGGACCAATCCATTTCCTCAGATAGGCCAGTCAGGATATACCTCTATGTCCAGGGCCTCTCTTATCCTCAATCTTGCCCTGTAGAATCAACTGTAGAAATCAGTATTTATACTTACGCATGATGTGACCGAAGTAAGCCAATTTTCTGTGTTTTATGGTGTTAATAATTTCTTTGTCTTTTCTTAGCTTCTGGAGAATAGTTATGTTACTTGTGTGGTGTATATATGAGACCCTCAACATATGTTGGTAGCAATACATTTTAAATGCATCCAATCATTTTATGGCATCTTCGGTAAGGCTCCAGCTTTCTATTTCATAGAGGAGGACAGTAAAGACGTAACATCTAAGAGTTCTTATGCATATATTTATACTAAAAGATAAGTTGCAGAGAATTTTTCTAAGGCTGTTAAAAGAGCTTCTGGCTTTTTCAATACAAGTTTTTATTTTATAGCTGTGATCCCAAGTATCCTTAATATTGCAGCCCAAATATCATATTTTTTCTGTTCTTTCGAACAGTGTATTGTTAATTGTAATTGTGGCATTTATGCTGGTGTTCTTACTAATGTTCATTATTTTCGTCTTCTTGCAATTTAGTTTTAGGCCATATTTGTTACATGCTTCTACAAAGTAATTGATCATCATAGTTGACATCCCTGGCTCTCTTTATTAAAACTTGAAAACTAAAAAGTGCTTCCCTCATTCTGAGTCCTGCTCTGAATCCAAATTGAACTTCACTCAGGTGTTCTTCTAGAACACTAGAAGGGGAAAAGATATAGTCTTTAAAATAGGGGGAACATTTCAACCTGCTATTAGCATGGAATGGGTTAAGTTTTGTATCACAATAGTTTAGGTACACTTGACACAACCCAATCAAGTCTAATAATTGGATTACAAAAATTAATTAAAGAAAGTGAATAAAAAAAAAGAACTTTGTAAAAAGTGAAAATACAAAGCCACATAACTATTTTAAGTAAATGTTACTTTTATTTATTTATTTATTTAATTAACGGATATACCATTTTTACAGAAATATGACGTCAACCTTTACAAAGCTTATACATAGGTTGCGTTAATAAAAAACAAACCAAAATTAAAATCAAACAAAATTCAATTAAAATGGTAGCTTAAGTTATTAAATAATGCTCAAAATCTCTCAAATGATTTCTTAAATGTTGCTGTAGATATTCCAAATAACTCTAAACTATTGCTGTGCTCATTGGCAGTTCGTAAAATTCTTGTAATGGGTTCATTTTGGCCATAATTCGTACTGTAAAATGGAATGTTGAAAATCTCAGTGTTACGAGTTCTTCTAGTATTAACATTAAAACTTATTAAACTTAGTAACTCTGGATCTTGAACATATCCATTTATAATTTTAAAAAGGAAACATAAATCCGCTTGACATCATCTATCATGTAGTGATGAGATATTTAGTATTGACAGTATATCATCATATGTGTATTGCTGTCTAAGAAAACCAATTTTGTAAGCACATACCCTCAAGAATTTATTTTGAACTCTCTCAATACTGTAGATGTCACTGTTATATGAAGGAGACCAAATGAGAGAACCATACTCCAAAACTGATCGAACTAAAGTATAAAATTTTTAAAGTTTGTACTGAAAACTGATTACAGTTTCTAAGAATAAATCCTAACATTTTTAAAGCTTTAGCTGAAGTTTCGTTAATGTGATTTTTAGAAGTTAGTTTAGAATCAAAATTTATACCTAAATCTTTAATATTATGACGTGCCTCTAAAGGTACATTATTTATATAATAATCATAATTTATAAACTCTCTTGATCTTCCAAAAGTAATTTTAAAACATTTTTGTATATTTAAGTACAGCATGTTTACCTCACACCAACTAGCTAAGCTTTTAATGTCATTCTGTAATAAAGAGGCATCAACTAGGTCATTAACTATTCGAAATATTTTAAGGTCATCAGCAAACATTAGAAATTTACTATTTTTAATCACTGAGGATATATCATTAACAAATATATTAAATAAGAGAGGCCCAATATGAGACCCCTGAGGAACTCCTGAGGTTACAGATACTCGTTGAGATAAACAATTTCCATATTTAACATACTGACATCTACCAGATATATAACTACCTATCCACTCAATTATTTTACCTCCAAATCCATAGCCATTTAATTTAGCAATAAGCAGATCATGGTTAACTCTATCGAAGGCTTTTGAGAAGTCTGTGTAGATAGCGTCAACCTGACCCTTCTGTTCCACTGAATTAGCTATAAAATTCGTATACAATATTAAGTTCGTGCATGTAGACTTACCCTTAGAAAAGCCATGTTGTCTAACATCAATTAAATTTTTACAATTCCATGTCAAAAAGTTTGGGTAATACAGATTGGCTACAAACCGCTCGATAATTCTCAACATCATTTTTATTACCAGACTTGAAAATTGGTGTTAAATAACTAGTCTTCCAAAGATCAGGAAAGATGCCGGTACTCAATGAGGAATTAAATAAGTAGCAGATAGGTTTTACAAGAGTGAAAATGCAATGCTTGAGAACATAAGCTGGCAAACAATCTGGTCCAAGCGATAATTTCCAAGGCATCTTTAAAACACTATCAATTATGTCAGAGACCTCAATACTATAATTATTCACATTTACACTCTGCCGATAGTTAAAAATTGGGATCTGATTAATTTTAGAATTAAAATATGTAGTTGAGAAAAACTTACCAAATAGATTAACTATGTCTTGAGCATTATCACTTGTACTATCACCGTAGAACATATTAGATGGCAGATTATAACTTTTATGTTTATTATTGATATATTTCCAAAAATATTATATTGTTGTTTGAGATTTTTCTCCACATAAAATAATGTTTTGTTGGGGTAAGAAGTTTTTTTTGTGGTGAGGGGTGAGGTTTGGGTGGGTGTGGGGTGGGGGGGGTGGGGGGGGGGGGGGGGTGGGTAGGTGTGGTGAGGTAGTATTGGGGTGTGTTTGTGTTTGGTGGGGGGGGGGGGGTGTGGGGTGGGGGTGGGGGGGGGGGGGGGGGTTGTGGGGGTGGGGGGGGGGGGGGGGGGGTGTGGTGTTGGGGGGGGGGGGGGGGGGGGGGGGGGGGGGGGGGGGGGGGGGGGGGGGTGTGGTTGTGTGGGTGTGGTGGGGGTTTGTTGGTGTTTCTTTGAGAAGGTCTAGGAGACAAATTGCAGCAATACGGAGAGTAGGCGCAAATCTAAATCCAAGGGTGAAGAATACACAGATGGCATCTACCCATCTTTATTGAGGTCTTCCCATGCTTCTTGTTGTTGTCCTTGGTCTCCATTCTAGAATTCTGTGTCCACCTGTTGTCATTATATTGGGCTACGTGACCTGCTCAGCGCCATTTCATTTTTATAATTTCTTCCACAATATCCCTAATCTTCGTTCTATGTCTTATCTCAGTTTTTCTAATCTTGTCTCTCAGTGAAATTTCAAGCATGATTAGTTCCATTGCTATTTGCATTGTTTCTTTTTGTTTCATTGTTTCATTTTTAGTAGATTTTTTGGTAAGGGCTACTGTCTCCAAGCCGTAGGTACAAACTGGTAGTATGCATGCATACTAAAGGCTGATTTATAAACTTTACGTTGGCGTTGGGGCTGGCGCTGACGTTCGCGTTACATCATGGTCAAATGGAAAACTCACATGTCCATTTATAAACATCGTTCGCCGTTGGCGTCGGCGTTCAGTTCCGTTCAAGATGAACCAACTTTATCTTTTGCCGTTGACCATTGTAGCACAGAATACACAAACCCTTGTAGTATCGATCTCAGAACATAAAATAAAACTGTATCTTTGTCATCGCAGCCAATAGCAATATCGAAAAAGTGACAAACTTTGTCAAACAAATCAAACAAAATTATTTGTTTATGTTTCCACATGTTTATAAAGTGGAAAAGTTTAGATAATAACAAGCCTTTCTTCAACAGAAATTCCATCAGAGCGACAGTTTACATTTATTTTTGGTTTTAACATTTGCAGTAATTTTTCAAATACTGGAAACTGTATCCTGGTGTATTTAAAAAACTGCTGGGTATCCCAGTTTTCATATTTTTATAATAATTAAAATTCCCTTTTGTCTTTCTGTTCTGGTTAATGGGCCCAGTTTGTATCGACGTTGTCTTTTATTTCGAAGGCTCAGTGCTGCTCGAATACAAAGTATCAGTGCCACTGCACCTAACAAAGGCTGGGCATTTTCCATTGTATTAATTTTCAAGCAAAAATTAATAATACCAAATCAAAAATGTAAGGCAAGAAATTAAGATGTGATCTTTAACGCCAACGCCAACCGAAAGTTTATAAATGCAGTGTATGATAGCTAGCGCCAAGGTCAATGGCGAACGCCAGCACCAACGCAAAGTTTATAAATCAGCCTTAACTTAATTGTCAAAAATTATTTATAATAACAAATATGGCATTCATTCATACTTTGAATATTACTATGCTAGAATTAATTAGGTCAATTATTTATGATAATTTGTGATTATATTGAACCAGTCATCATTCTGGCTTCAACCTCTGCAACCTCTTCAAAATTTTCTCTCCAGTTGTCCATATCCATCCTATCCATCACCTTGTTTTTATATGGAACAGATAATACAAAAAAAAACGAAAATTTAATGATAATCATGTTAAATATAATTACTAATTACCCTAAATATCTTTTACATACTACATAATACAACATAATATATTTTACATAATACAACACAATAAGCCGCATTAAAAAGAAAAATAAGCAATTGCTTAGATAAGTGTGTAGTAGACATGTTACTCTTCAAATGATAAATTAGTACAATTATCTTAGGAAGTTTATTAAAATGCAAACATGTGCATATATACGATACCAGGAGACTATTAAAAAAGATATTAATATCAATCCATCTAGTGTATGGGGATGGAAAATGCAGTCAACTCTATTTGTATAGTTTATTGTAAATAACTTAAAATACAAATATCTCATTTATTGACCATATCCATTACATGTAATTACATTTTATTCTGTAAAATGTGTTTGTTTTTAGAATAAATAAATAAATATATGTGCACTTTATATAACAAAAATATTTGTGTTACAGATCTTAGTTGACACAGTTTGGGCTTTAAGTTACCTAACTGATGGTGGCAATCTTCACATTCAAATGGTTATAGATAGTGGTGTTGTACCAAAACTCATACCTCTCCTTAGTCATAAAGAAGTCAAAGTTCAAACAGCAGCTCTTCGTGCAGTGGGTAATATAGTAACAGGTACTGATGAACAAACACAAGTGGTGCTTAATTGTGATGCCCTCAGCCATTTCCCATCATTATTAGTACATCCTAAAGAAAAGATCTGTAAAGAAGCAGTATGGTTCTTGTCCAATATCACAGCTGGAAGTAGATCACAAGTGCAAGCTGTTATTGATGCTGGTAAGTTTGTACATATCTTAAGGGGGTTAGGATCTATTCAATTAGGTGGTTAGTAGTTCCTCAAACCTTGTAAATTTCGCTGATGACTCAAATGTGCTTTTCTGGGAACAAACTTTAGAAACACTCCTCACAGTGGCAGAGCAAATTCTAAGCAAGGCTGAACAGTGGTTTAGTGGAAATCGGTTGTTGTAAATACAATTAATTTTCTATCAGAAAACACGGACCTTCTACATCAGTTAAATTTCTTGGTATTCATATTGACCAGAATCTGAATTGGGGGGAACAAATACAAAATACAACAAAAAAACTGAATAGAGGGGATTTTACTATCAGTATAGTATAACTTTTATTCTGTTATCGATATGGAGTAATCTTCTGGGGTGCTGCAGTAGATAGCTCAACTATCTTTATAGTCCAAAAAAAGGCAGTCCGGGTGATCTTAGGACTAAAGGTGGGAGAATCCTGTAGAGGCTGATTCAAGTCACTCAATATTCTCACTTTCTCAGCCATCTATATATTTGAATGTATTATGTTCCTTTTTAAAAATTTTTCTTTGTTTTATCACCTGCTTCCCAATCATGAATATAATACAAGAAGCCTTAATTTGAATTTGCCACTTCACAGATTGTTTTTAACAGAGAGAAGTCCTTTGTATGCCTGTGTTAAATTTTATAATAGTCTACCATCTAACATTCAACAGGAAACACACTATAGAGCTTTTAAAAGAAAGGTGTTTCAACACCTAGTTGACATTGAGCCCTATACTGTGGCGGAGTACCTGGCCTATCCTTCTCCTTGATCAGCATATTTAATGTTTAAAAATTTATGCAAATAAAAATTTACTCTACTCTAAAAAAAAAAATATTTTAAACATATTTTAAGATTTTTTTTTTGAAAAATTGTTTGGTATAAATTTATTTGTAACATTAGTACATTATAGTACAACATTTCAAGAGTATTATTTGAAATTTTGGTACAAAAATATTAAACATTAAGAAAATTATGACTAATTTTCCAAGATGAAAAAAAAAGTTACTTTACAGTGTCCAACGTAACATAACTGAATCATTTGTTGACAAAAAACCAAAAAGATTTCATTAGTTTGAGTTTCCCTATGTCACAACGTAGAGATTTTGATTTTATAAAATTAATTATAACAACAAATTGACAATAACTCGACGTTGCGACCTAGTAATTTATCTATAAAAGAAGTGTGCAAAATTTGAGAAGGATCAATCTAGTAGTTTTTGAGATACATTGAATATGTACTTGAAAAAAAAAATATTCCGAGAAAAATGTGTTTAAATAAAAGCTGATTTTTTCATACTCACACAGTATCATCTATTCCAGACCCATATAGCGATGTGCCTCCTGCTAAAATATCTAGAGCATCTTTTTGCTTCCACTTTTGAGGAACTTTTTTTTATTGCATCTGCAGCTTTTTTAACCTCTCTAGTAATTCAATTGCTATCTGCCGTGAGTCCATTATTATGAGAACTTGACACTGTACTTATTCCAATTCTATGTGAATGCTCATTTACCCCATTCACTCACCTAACTCACTCACCTCACTCACTCGGCCCACTCACTTACCTCACTCACATAAATCATGCATAAATGAATGTCTGTAAAACATGCAGCAAAAGTCATTAACATTGTAAGTAATAGAGTTTAATTTGTTTTAGGGCTTTTACCGAAAATAATTCATAATCTTAGTAAAGGTGATTTCCAAACACAGAAAGAAGCTGCTTGGGCTATCACCAATTTGTCTATAGGCGGTAGTAGAGAACAAATTGCTAGACTGATACAGGAGGGGGTGGTGCCTCCTTTCTGTGAACTCCTCAACTGCAAAGATGCTACAGTTATCCAGGTAAGGATTGTACTAAATTTATTTATATATTTGCTAAATAGTTTATAAAATCAAAACAAGCAAACAAATCTAGTGCTTTGGTTTGAAAAAAAGTATTTGAAAAAAAATCTAATTAATTAATTTTAAAATTAAATGATTTACATGTATTTGTTGTGCTCATTCTAGAAGCAGAAAATTGTGGTCATTCAAATGTATGAAAATAAGTATTTCTATACAATTACCAAAAGAATATTCCACCAATTTTAATTCAGGAGCTAGGTGCTATTAACTTGAAATACCAAAGAAAATAATAAGACCTAATACCACCTTGAAAAAGGTCAAAGGAAATACCCAAACCCAACCACATGGATCAACTGGTACAGAATCTGAAAACCTTAAAAATTATTAACTGAAAAAGTGGCGGTCATAGCTCAGTGGACAGCCTGGGTTCAATCCTCAGCACAGGATTAGAAATTTTTTAATTTCTAATTTAACTGAGTCGCCACCGTGATTGAGAGGGCAAGTTAAGCTGTTGGTCCTGGCTACAAAGGTAGTCATTAACACTAAAACCCGAGGCAGGTTTTAGTGCCACTGGGTTATCAAAAGTAAAACAGATAACCAATCAGCAATAAACTGGGATAAATTTAAGAAAATGCAAAATTTAAAGTTTTCAGATGATATAGCATTGATTAAACAACATAAAAATGAAATTTTGTTATGGGAGAATAAAACAAGTGGAAAAGGCATTGGATATCTTAGCAAAAATATGGAAACCAGCAAATATATTGGCTGAGACAAAGCTGTAATTGTTTCAAATGAATGCCAAAAGTATGTTTTTTGTGAAACTGAAAGTTGGATTTATTTATAAATAAATGTTTGTGGAAAATTAATCAACCATTGTGGCCAGAAAAATATCAAATGGGACACTCTGAAAAATATTTGAAAAATAAACATTAAATGTTGTAAAGAGAAATTAATGGTATATATTATTGATTGCCCAATTATTTACCATTATGCCCCAACCTCATTTCATTCACACGAGGAAGTTGAGTAGTTTTATGATGAAATAACAATAGAGCTAAATGAAACACCTACACAATATATTGTAATATGTGGTTATTTTAATGGTAGAACTGGCAGCAGAACATGTGTTGAAGAGACACATATTGGAAAATTCAGGTCAGACCAACATAAAGAAAGAGGAGAAACCCTGGTTGGTTTTCTACTTCAGAATAACTTATTCCAAATGAACAGCTTCTTCCACAAAAAGCAACAAAAAATATGGACTTGGCAAAGCCTGGATAGCAAAACCAAAAGCGAAATAGACTATATAATTAGCAACAATAGGAAAATCCTCCAAGATGTGACTGTCTTAAATAAATTTTATATGGGTAGTAATCATCGAATAGTATACAGTAAAGTTAAAATATATCTAGACAATAAAAGAAATCGATTATTGAGAAAAAATGAAATACATACATGGACACAACCCAGTCACGTCAAAATATACAAAGACATTGAGACCAAATTAAAATCAAATACAAGGATTCCTACTGAAAATATAAATGTTCTCATTGAAAGCGTTACACAAGCTATCTGAGAAGCCAAAAGAAAGATTATCCAAGCATAAAGAACAAAGAGAAACTTAGTGAAATAAAGAAAAAATATAAAAGAGAATATAAACACAAGTAAAGAGGAAATAAGGGAGATGAATCAAGAAGTACACAAAGAAATCAAAAAAGAAAATATATAATGATAAAATCCAACAAACAATACAGGCAAATAAAATCTTGAAGGTACTTCAAAGAAAATTAAAAACTGGAAATAGTCAAATAATCAAATTAAAAAACAAACAGGGTGAAATACTAACTAATAGGACTGAGTTGTTAAAAACTGTGGAACATTTCTATCAAGAACGATACAGTAAGTAGATGGGACACTGAAATAAATATAAAAAGGACAACTGAAAAAACCCTATTAAATCAAGGTTTTGAACTAATGCCAGACAAAACATTAGTGAAATCAGACAAATAATGGATGAAAGACAATAAATCACTAGGAGATGATGCACTAGTAATTGAATCCCTCCTTGAATAAAGCAGTAACAATTCTGATACATAAAAAAGGAGATAAAACTGACCTAGAAAATTATTAACCCATTAGCTTGTTCAGCCATATGTATAAATTCTTCGCTAGAATCATAACGAGATTTAATAAAAAAACTAGATATTAACCAAACCAGACAGCAGGTAGGATTTCAATCAAAATTTGGCACCAACGACCACCTGCAAACACTCAATACTTCTGGTATTGGTGGTTATAGATTTCCACAAAGCGTCTGACTGGGCAGAACTAGATAGTATAATTGAAGCCTTAAATGAAAGTCACATTGATAGCCATTAACCAGATTATTATGCAATATTTATAGAAATGTGACACACTATCACCAAAGCTTTACTGTCCTAGAATGTGCTGGATTGGGCACAATCCAGCACATTTTAAAAACCTGGATTGGGATAGTAAAGGGATAAGTGTCGACAGGGAAAGACCACACCACCTGAGTTATGCTGATGAGATATATTTGATAGATGATCTAGGTGAAATCAACATCATGCTAGAAGAACTGAAAAGAGCCAGCAGAGAAATTGGTTTAAAAATAAATATCCCTAAAACAAAATATACTCAGTGACATTAGATGTGTTACACCCAAAAGGAATAATTTATTGAATTTTTTGGCAACATAGTAGATTTACATCAAGAATGAACAATAATGTTGTCAAGAATTTTTATTAATTAACAAGTTTAAAAATAATAATGTGTTTGGCGACCCCGTAGCTGAATACAATCCTGTATACATCTTTTTTTTATGGGGAGGGGTGATCAACATGTTCGAAACATACCTCGGTCCTAGAAGGCGGGCAAAACCGCCTTCCAGCCTCGGTTATGCAGGACTCCTCCAGCGTGGCCACGTTGATATCCAATGCCGCTCGCTCGATTTGTTCGGACACTACCGCCGCCAAGGCCAGAGACCTACCTGCTAAAAAACACCCTCCTCAGCGGTCTGAGCGCCCTGATTGGGACGCAACCTCGGCACGGCATTCACCCGAACTTTCATTCACGCACAATTCTCACGCATTCTTGCACTTTCTCACTACGACGGAATTCTTCTCTCCCTCTATTCCTCCTTATTCATGTTAAATCTCGCTCATTCTGCCTTATCTTCTTGCTTGGTCCTGGGCACCCTGCCTATCTTCGGGTCGTCTTTCTTCTTGTTCCTTTCTTTCCAATGTTTTCCTCACATATCTCTGAACTGCTCTCCATCAATCTGACTACCTAAGCATCTCCTCCACCATCCTGTATACATCTAGACATTAACAAAATGAGATGATCGATGTCTGCTTGTGGCACCAAGTTCATGTATTAACTGTGCCAGAATCTGTGGAGAATAGTAGATCATAGTTTGACGAGCAGTATGGGGACGGCCGTTTCGACGACGAGCTGATTCATCGCTTATGCTACATGACGCCATTCTGCCGTTCTCTGCACCAATTCAAACGTTGATGACAGTGGTCCGCAGTCAAAGTCTCGAATGCGACGGTAGAGTGTACGCATACTAACAGGTCTACCTACTACTCCAAACCATTGGTCAGCAATTTGACACATAATACCAAAACAGTCTCGCAGAACGAGTATTCTAAAACACCTATCTTAACATCCTCTGGTATGCCTCAGTTGACGAGTTGGTCTTCTTCGTTTGTCCACACACGACAGACCCGCATAACCGCCATTGCCCTACAATAAACATGATGGCCAATTTCGCGATACGACAAACCCATATCTCTATACGCAATAATTCTACTACTGCTAAAATCGCTAACATGGTGGTAATCTTGGTGTCTTCGAACTCAAGGCATTTTCGTACACTGAATACAATTAGACTGAGGAATAATAACTTAAAATTTTTATATGAACAATGTTTCACAAATCAGTCTCTTCACAAAAAAATTTAAAGATAAAACTTTATTTTTACAAAAAGTAGAAAAGATAAAACATTGGTATTGTTATCATAGCATGTTTTAAATATAATCATTCTGTTGCCAAAAAATTAAGTTCAAGAAATTATTCCTTCTGGGTGTAACACTTCTAATGTCATTGAGTATACATGATAAACCTCACATAAAGTAACAATTTAAAAATTCAGAAGGATGAAGTACAACTTTTTGATAAATACATATACCTTAGACTCGAAATTAGAATAGGCAAGGACAACCAAAGAGGTGGGTATCAAGAAGAATAGCACATGGATGGGCAGCATATATGGAGGTCTTAAAAACTTATTTAAACAAAACAACATACCAATTAATCTGAAGCGGAAAGTTACGGTGCAGAAACACTGCCCCTAACAAAAAACATTGCTTTAAAACTAAGAGTAGCACAAACAAGATCACAAATGAAGACCTACAAAAAAGAACCAGAGCTACAGATGTTGTGGAGGGAGCCTGTAAGTTGAAATGGAGATGATCACGTGTCAAGGATGAAATATGAAAGGTGGACACGCAAATTAACCAAACAGAGACTAAGGACAGATAAATGAAACGGAGGAAGACCACCTACATGATAACAAGATGGCGAAAGATTGGATCCATACTGCACAACACCATGCTCTCTGCATAGAGGATGAGGAGGACATGCATAAATAACCATACTAGATGCGTACTAGTATTTAACTACCTGGTAGAAGAAAAGTAGGAAGGCTCAAATTTTTAACAGAAAATTAAGGAAGGCTCAAGGTTTTCAAAGCTTTACGTTATCTACAAAGGTTTTATTTTCTCAATTAAAAATCACTTGAGCCATGTCACACCAATGTAAAGAGGAAGTCCGTAAAATATAAACTCAATTTGGTATTGGGAGAGTCATAAATCACTGTCAAGTGGAAGTTGATTACCAAGAAAGGTATGGATGTTAACTCAGCTGAGAAATTATAGGGCTAACACCAATAGATTCCGTAATTGTTTTTACTCTTTGTACAGTTGCTTGGAAAAAAACACAAATAACTCAACGGCATGTAAGCATTATGCATACATAATTGGTGTCTATAAATTTTTTATACATTTTTATATTATGAATATTTTGCAAAAAATACCCCTGAAAGAGTTGTATTCACTTTTCTTTCAATTCATACCAACAAAAGTATATACCTTAGTTTAGTGTTAGAATATGATTTTATAACATAATTTCATTTATTTAATATAATTATTTAATTCTAGGTTGTACTTGATGGTATTAATAATTTACTACAAATGGCCGGTCCTCAATTGGAACAGCTCTGCACAATGATTGAAGAATGCAATGGCCTGGACAAAATTGAAGCTTTGCAAAATCATGACAACATTAAAATTTATAAATTGGCATATGAAATTATAGAGCAATATTTCGGAGGCGAGGTAAGTTTTAAAGACAATATAACCTCTACTTATAACAAACCTGTAAAATATAAGATTTCATGATTCTTTTATTAAAGAAATTAAAAATAGTAATTTCTGCTCACAATTGTCTGATATTTACTTCTGTGTGCCATGTTGTACCTGCTTATTTTTCTATGTCATAGTCCCACCTTTACTTTGGATGCTTTCTTAGTCTTTTGATTCCTCTTGGATACCACAGTGTAATTCTCGTGGACCATATATTGTCAGTTCTTCTCACTAAATGCCCTGGCCATTGCCATTTTAGAAATTTGATTCTGTAGATTACATCATTGACCTGAGTTTTCTGTCTGATCCATTCTCTTCTTTTGCAATCTCTTTATTATGTGTAACATGCATAGCTGCTTTGACCTTTGATTGAAATTGAGTTTCGCTATTATTTCTTTCTTTAGTGTCTAAATATCGCAACCATATGTCATGATCAGTATGCACAGATCGAATGCTCTTTTCTTCAGGTGGATTAGCATTTTTGATTTGACTATTACAGCATTTTACCAAAAGATGCCCAAGTCAGTTTCATTCTTTTGTTGATTTTTGGGTGAAAGGAGTGTTATATTGATGAATAGAAAATAAAAGAATGTGTTGATATTTTATTGTAATACTAACTCAAATAAACGTGATACATAAATATACAATTAAAAGTGGTTACATTACGATACCATCTTAAAAATGTTGACATTGACATACATCAATCGTGCTGTCAACCATAGACAGATTTGTTCCTTATTCACGAGTATTTATTTAACAAGGAGCCAGAGTTTGTACTGTCTCAATTACAGTATTGTTTTTTTTACAATTTGGATATCCACTATACTATGTTCCACGTTTAGAAAATAACATTGCGGAGATAGGGTCATGTATTTCTTATGGACGATAGCAACGCGGCGTTGCCACGACACACACAAGCACAATTTAGGGTTGTATAATTTGTATTTTCGTTTCCACAAACATGAATTAAATTAATGTTTTTTAACGTAATTGACCAAAAGTGCCCATTCGAAACAAGAGATGAAAAGTAGGGAAAATGATTTTAATTAGATAAATAGTATTTACAAAAGATAATTTTATTTTATCTTATTTTAATTAAGTATAGTAACGACAGTTTATTTGTTTTTCGGTGAGAATACGATATGCCATGAATCATAGAAATCAGTAGAAAATATTGACTGCTTGGGCTTGGAATGCGTATATCTAATTACTAATTGCAACTTAAAATAATACGATGTGCGTATGTCAGCTATTTTATGTCGTTCTCTGACTACATAATGATAATAAGGCTTTTATTTAGTAGTTATTTTGACTTTACAGTTAAATGTTAATTGAAAATGAAAATTCAAAAATTAAGCAAAGGGAATATCTTTGACATCCGTGCAAAAGAGAGTGTCTGAGAGTTTTGGCAACACTGATCTCCATAAGCGTAATGTTATTTTCTTGAAACAAAGAATAGCTCATTGTATATGGTACACAACTGGAATTTTGATTTGTTGGTTGTTATAATTCTTTTGGATTATTGCTTGGACTCTTCTATTCTACCAGTGGCGTCACATCAGCGCAGGCTAATTTACCAGTACACAAGCATATTTGTTATATTATAGTAGTATAGTAAATAGGAGCCCCTTCCCATATCAGTTGGCCCAATGTTAGATTGATAAGAAAATTAAATTTTAGAGAACAAAAATAAAAGTGCAGCATAAATTTTAGAAGTTTTAATGCATCAAACAACATTTTTGAATTTCCTAATTATAGAAATAGAAATAGAATTTTATAACGTAATGAAAACTATTGATTAAACAGAATAATAATAAATTTAAAAAAAACGAATAGAATATGTAATATTAACAAAAAAAAATGTGAAAGTTTACCACTGAGTTACATCCCCTTTATTTTTAATGACATCCACAATTCTTCGAGGCATAGTTTTTACCAAGTTGTGACAAAATTCTAATGTAAACGAATCCCATATTTCTTGCATTTTTTCCTTCAATTCGTTGACGGACCTGGCAGGATGTTTTCTCAAAGCTTTTTTTATTTCACCCCACAAAGTCTCTATCAGGGATAAGTCGGGACTGTTAGAAACCCATTTCAGAAGTGGTATGCCATTGTCTTCAATCCATTTTAATTTCTTTTTTGAGGTATGACAACTTGCGCCGTCCTGTTGGATGACAAAAATCTTCCGCTGATGTTTTAGTTACATGTTTTTAGAAATATTTAAGAAAATATTTTATTTGTATATATCCAAGAATTTGCTTCTGTTTGTTAATATTTTTGTACATCAGACCTTGTATTCTCGTTTACACTACTCCTCCACTTCAGCTCTGATCTGCCATACTCTTAGTTTTCATTCACTCTTGACAGGTGTTCACAACTTTTACCAAGTATTTTTCCTAAAATCCTTGTTTTACGTTATTTGATCATTATCATTAACTAAGTACATGTCATGGTAATGTTTCGTCACGCAGCTTTTAAAAGAATCCATTATAACGGCAATGAAAGAGTGACAGGAACTAGTCTGTTTGAATAGCACATACATAATACTAAATGATTATTGCCTTTTTTAGGAGGTGGAAGATTCCAACATAGCTCCAACATCAGGAGAAGCAACATTCAACTTCGATCCAAATACAAATGTTCCAAAAGACTTCAACTTCTGATCGTTCTATGAAGATGATAATTACTAAACGTTTACTAAAAGTAATTAAGTCATCATTAGCCAGAAGAAAGCGTTGCTTCCTTACTTTATATCAAAAAACAAAACAAAATACGAATATGTCTATACATACATTTAAACATGTACGTTCATTTTAAGCTATTCATGTACATATTATATATATTTTTTTATATATAAGACGATAGATTCGAACCCAAAATGTTTTTTCTGATTAGTTTTGAACTTGGGAAATTTTATATAAATACAATATGCAACCGATTTTTCTCCTCTCAACGGTAATAGACTGCGAACGTTATGATATCACAAAGGCAAATATTATGAATTATTTCACATAAAATAGTTTGTTTAACAGAGTTTATATGGAAACGTTTATCTAAAAATCAATCACTAGATATCGTTTTTATGTATGTTAATATAAAATCAAACTTTAAAAAATAAGTAAAGTTTGTGGGAAATCTATATTTTATTTTTGTCACTCTTGATCAATATATTGAAGAGATAAATAAACTTGGCAACAAACTATTGGATGTAAATCCTCTTTTGGCAAATGCTTTAATGTTATCGTTTGTCATATTAAATTATTAAGCTGATTTAACACTTTCGTTCAAAAAAAAAAAATAATAATAAGAATGAGGGTAAAATAAAACAGAAGTTCTTTAAGAATAGTTAATAATCTCTGCGCCCAATGTGATGTCAAACTATAGTAGTCCTTTTGCCATATTTCAAGAAGTAAAAAATCTGCATAAGTGTTAATTTGTATATAAAACAGTTGCGTTTTGTATATGTGATAGATGTACATAATTTTTGAAGTAGTAAACCTTTCGATTTTTTAGGTTAAATTAAACCTATTGCGTTCCATACCTAAAAAAATGTTCGTATATTTAAAGTTAGATGTGTTTATGTAAAATTTCCCAAAATATTGTAAAATTTATTTAGTTTTAAGGGACGAGGAAAATCGATGCTTTATGTACCGTATTGTAAAAACTTGGTTTATTATTTAAATATGAAAAAATTGATCTAATTTAATGACAAAGTACTGGGTCTGTGTAGTTTATATGCAACGAAGATTCCAGATCAGAACGATTGCAAATTAACATTTTATCAATTTTTGTTACTTTTTAACTTGATAACTCGTTAAATTTTACAAGAAGTCTTCAGTATATACAGTAGGTGTTCAACACGTGACCCAGTACCGGACGCATAGTGCTTAAATTTGATTTATATCCATTTCATGAGAATAAATGTGCGACACGTGGCAACACTAAAGAGCTGTTTTATCTTTATTTCATTGAGCCTTATAGGGTATGCAAATCCTTAAAAGTTGTCGATTATTGAGTATTTTTTGGTATCCCTAACTTTCATAATTAAATTGCAGATCGCAAACTGATTGCAGATCGTTGGTATGTCGTCCATGACACACGTTATACCGATAATATATTGCAATGCCCAATTTGTATTTCGTAAAATTAAAGATGAATTTAAAAACCGACCACTTGGTTAAATAAGATAAATCGATGCCTTTAGCTAATTTTCGGCCAAATTAAATTTCGTGCGATAATTAAATAACCATTTACTGAATTTTTTAGTGGTAGCATGAACACTGAAACCGGCATTTAGGATTTTCATGCATGATATGGCCGATCGCAAAAGTATAACTGGCTTATTGCAATCACTTCTCATCCAGTTAAATTCTCACTCATATGTATAGGATCAGAAACTTCAAATCGATCAAAAAGAAATTTAATCCTATCTTATATAGTTGAACAGAATCAGATATTGAATTGAATATTAGATAGCTTAAAAAGCTGTTTATAGAATGGGTTAAACATCTTTGTCCGTTTTAAAAATGGACTACTTACTGCAGCTAATTTAAATCAATGATTACTTGTTGAAGTAATAGCTAAAACAATAGGGCACTTGTATAATTTTTTATTTTATTTTTCTTTAATATTTGACCCAAAATAGCTGTATATTTTATACCCAAGCAAGACAGTATATTTTTTAACCCTTATGGCATTTTATATTTTATTTTTAATGTGGCATTAATTTTGCGCGCATTAATCAAACTCAATAAATCAATCTCAAGTTAACTAATAATATAAAACTTCGCAAATAGACAGTATTTCACATTTATAAGCTATTAATAATTCATTATGTTATTCATATGTAAAAGTGAATGTTAACAAAAATTGATTTACTCGCATTATACATTTAGTGAGTTAGTTAGGACAATTTGAAATAAAATATTTTGTTACATAGGACTATATGCATTATGATTATATAATACAAATTAAATAAAAAAGAACCTTTTTATAACAGATAAAATTAAACAATAAAAAGTTTTAAATGAATCATAAACAGTATGTGGCAAATGGTCATAGAAAAAGTGACAGTCCGATGTAATGACAATTTTTAATTCTTGTAGATGTTGCCATTTTATCTTGAAGATTTTATATCGTTCGGTAAATAATTAAGGATATTTGGATATTGGTGGGATATTTCTTGGTCTTACAGGAAGATCAGTGTAATTTAATTCCGTGTGATCAAGTTTTACCTTAATAATATGTCCTAACTGACTGTAGACAATAGATCTTATATCCATAACAGTTGAATCGTTTACTATTCGTCTTGGGAGAATAGAAGAATACCTTAAAGTTTTGCTATGATCCTTGAAAAAAACAAATCAAAATTAATGACCTCGTATGGGTTTGGAAGCTTTCTAGCTTCTAATCACTCGGAACTTTAATTTCTCTATTTTTTAATTTTCTCTCAATGCATGCATGCACCGAGATGCACACCTCCATCTGTGTATGCCCAACTTATAAAAATTTCTGATATATTATGTAACATACTGAAATTTAAAAGGGCATTGGTCATAACTGCATTCCGATTCTGAGCAGTGCATCCATCCGAAAAAGTTGTTATAGGTTTTTTATTCTGTTACACAATATTTTGTAAACAAGAAGTAAATGTTGATGCAACAAGCTGATTATTCTGATCTTCAGAAAACCAATAGCAGCTTTGTAGCCAAATTGTATACTGTCAAGTTGTGGCAAGCAAGCTTGGTCTTATAATAAAAGGTAAAAAAGATAAAAGGTTAAAAATAAAAGGCGTTTGGTAAAGGGAGCTAATTTTAGGGCCTGGAAATCAAATTATATTGTGAACTGAGCTTCACGTTTGTTTTTTTCCATTTCATCTCTCGAGTCCTGTTTACGTTTTTAATGCGCTTGCCATGCTTCTGTTATTTTCCCGTTCTCTAGCTACAACACGCGTTACACTGGTGCTTCTTATTGGGAAAAACTGAAATATTTTGTTGACTATAATTTCTGAAAACTTCTTTCTGCCAAGCGAGGAAACGCTTTCAACTTCGCATTTACTAAGGTACAATTTAAAAACATCAGAAATTGCATGAAATATGGTTTAAAAATATAGTTTAGATGAATGTTTTCGAGCGTAGTGTGACGGCATTTTAGGCAGATCATTTAAACAATTTTGGAGGAACTTGATTCTCCTTGCTAGTTCGGGTTGGTCACTTGTTTATTGCGCTGATCTGTTAGACAAGGGGTGTTATATGAACTTTGTTGACACCATATCTGAATCATTTTGTAATTGATACCAAGCGTGTTCAAAAACATTTGTCGACAAACTTGCTTTACACCTTGCCATTATTTAGTCTATACTGAAACGTAAAATAGTGTTTTTCTTTTTCTCAATTTTTATCACATGAGTAGTCACAAATGATTTTTTTGTGGCCAAGTGATCTTCCAAAATTTATCAAAAATAGCATGTCTGATATTTTCAGTAAAAAGAGAACATTGTCTAAGTTTTGATCTATGACACAAGGTACTGTTACAAGTTGACTTGATTTTTCGGGCTGATTGCTGGGTGTTTTGTTAGAACTTTTTATTTTCACCCTTTGCAAATCAAAGTTAAGGTTTGCCTTCCATTCTCCACTATTTAAGTATTCATCGGATAAGCGAAATATTTCTGTGTAACTTTCGGTGTCATTTTCAGGATTTGATCCTGAAATATTATTTAAGTAAAAATCATTGATCGTATACACAGAATAACCATTAGCAGTGTGAGTAATATTATGGAGAAATCCAGATTTTTCTGGAAGAGATATAAGATTTTTTGATTATTATTTAATTGAAATTATTTCACTGCCAACAGTTTCGCCTCGGATAGTTATTAAAGTGACAGTGAATGTATCGGTCACTTCAGAAACCACATTTTCCTAAAAATTACGAATTAAAAATATAGAGACTTATGTAACCATTAAAAATGTTAGCTGAGCGGAGGGTTGGTTCAATGTATTGTAGGGTTCCATCTGAATCTGCATCACAGAGACAATGGGCATATCGGTAACCTTAGCAACCTAATCACTCAAAAATAATACCCTAATAGAAGGTGGATTCATTGATTTATTGCAGGTTTTCATCGAATTTTGTAGTCTACACATATTCACTAACTTGTTTCCTCTGTCTATGATTCTTCTGGATTACACTGTAATGTAAATAATAGCAGTTACCCCTAATTTATGTATAAAAAGTATTTAAATTTATATTATGAACAAAAACAAATTGTCCTATTTACATAAGTATTAAATTCAACGTTATTTTTAATTTAAGGCTATTTTGTGTTACTTATCATTGACGTTTAGTTTCATCGTTATCGTTAAAACTAATTTGAATTGAGAATAATGCATTTGTTGTCATTAAATTTCAAATCGCAGTGTGCTTTAACTGCTAAAACAGCCTTAAATAAGATTTTTATCCAATTCTATACCGATAATACGATGCCCACAGAATTTATGAATCAATACATACCTTTTTTATAGTAAAACAGGTCACTATTTACAGGGATTTTACCAAAATAATCAGCACAATCTTCATAGCCACTTCACGTAAATTAGAATGGACGTTAGATAGGACGTTTCGCATTCTAAATAGTTTCTGTTTTCAATAGGCCAAATTGAAATGCGCAGGTACCGAGACAACGTTGTCGCTTTTCGCATAATATTCCTCAATGGGGTGATAAATAGTCACATTTAAGATTGTTTCGACCAAAAATATAAAAATCCGCAAAATGCGAGATAAGACATTTTGCCTGCCCACCATCGATATATTAATTTATTATATTGTTTAGTTTAGAAAATACATTTAAATTAAATTAAAAATTGCATTAATAATTAATATTTATGTTATAAAAATACAATTTCAGTTTTTATATAAAAAATTTTAATACATGCAAGTTCTCTATTGAAAAATGTACTCGTAGATCCATTACAAGTTCGGGGCTATTGTAGTAAACTCTCGATATTGCCGAGATATATCTTTAGTATTTTGATCTCATCTATAAAGATATATCTCTCACAAATAAACAAATTTAAGTACTGTACATATTTATTTTTTCGGGATTTTGTAAATTTTGTGCAAAACAATTGAAAATTAAAAATGAACACATAATTATTGTGATGTAGAGTTTGAAGGAAATGCTGAAGTGCAAAACAAACCATTTAAAATGACCGTACATAGTCAAAAGGATCTGAGCATGATAACTCGTAGATAATTTATTATTTTTTTAAGAAACGGAAATGTGATGTATTAAACCATATAATTTATTGAATAGAATTGTGATGCAATAAAAAGTCATGCGCAGATTTTGTTAGATTTTATCCTATTGTATTTATGATAATGATATTAACTTAATATTCTTTTGTTTCCACGGACAGTCTTCAGACTTGTTTATAAATATTATGATACACGATTTGTTTATGGATTAATTGATGGTTTTACTTTTTAGAACAGTCTAGAAACATAATATCTGATTTAAGCCGGTCTATTAAAATTGAATTGAATTTTTAGTAATTATAGTTATGTATTATTTCATTTAAAATTACGTTAGGTAAACTATAAAGAAGTCTGAAGAATTCGTAATGTTGTAAGGTAAAATTTTTTAGGAGGTAAAAATTGACTGTTTGCCCGTTGTTTATATATTGTTTTTATTTATGAAAAAGGGACATACATTTTACAACTTTCGGACTTTATATGCTCGGTTTGATTTTTTTATTCTAATTTTGGAAATAAATCTGAAGAAATGTAAATAAACATTTTCCGTCTTGCTTTATATTTAATTCAGTGGAATTGACAAACACTTTCCTGTCCTTAATGTTTTACTAATTAGAAAATATCTTCAGTTGTACATTATTTATAGTAAACATTAAGAGAATCTAATGAGTTGTTTTTTAATAACCTCATGTTATGTCACATCTATATCGTGGTGAAGCGAAGTGGTATATTGATCTGCGCCCAAATAAACCATGAACATTTACGGATATTTAAATCCTCTATTTTCAGATAAGAAAATAGTACAACACAACAAAAAACAAATAAAAATCAAGACAAACTACAATAACAATAATTATTATTCCTGTTGTGGTTGTTCCTTTCCTCCAGGATTTGGCACAAGAGAAACACTTCATAGCTTAACTGTCCTACTTTAGAAATGCAGAGATCAGCAAAAATATGTCTTAATATGCTTTATAGATTACCAGAAAGCGTTCGATTGTGTTCAATCATTCATAATTAGTAAGATTGTTCCAGGAACGTTCGATAGATGAGAATGAACTTAAAATCATAAAGAACCTTTATATGAATCAAGTGGCATCTGTGAAAGTAGCACTGGAATCTACATCATATTTTCTCAATCGATAAAGGTCTACGACAGGGTTGTGTTCCTATCACCCCTCCTTTTTAATCTTTACTCTGAAACGATTTTCGATAGAGCCTTAAGTGACACTGAAGATGGAATCAAAATCAACAGACAGACTATTAGTAATCTTCGCTATGCTGATAATACAGTCATAATAGCTGATAGCCAAGAAGCGCTACAACGACTAATAGATAGAATAAACACTGAAGGAGAACGACTGGGCTTGAAGATTAATATAGACAAGACGAAGGTAATGGTGGTTAGTAGAACACGAAATATGCAATTAAATATAAGAGTAAACAATAAGAACATCCAAAAGGTCTCCAAGTTCAGATATCTCGGTGGTTGGATAACTGAAGATCTAGATCCAGACAGAGATACGTATCAGGATTGAGCAAGCCAGAATTTTTTAAGCATTTACTAATATTCAGAACCTTGCTAAGCAACAGCAGCCTTAGCTTAACGCTTCGATATAACTTTGTAAAATGTTACATTTATTCCATACTGTTATATGGTGTGGAAACCTGGACCATAAAGGCCAGTGTGATGAACCAATTTGAGGCCTTTGAAATGTGGGTATTTAGAAGACTTAAAATTCCCTGGACAGATCACACAACAAATGTCGGAAGTATTAAATCGAATGTACAGAGAACGACAATTGCTGCCAATAATAAAAAGAAGAAAAATGCTTATCTGGGTTATATATTTCGGAATTACAAGTACCAGTTCTTAAAGCTTATTATGGAAGGGAAGATAGAAGGAAAACGGACCATCGGAAGAGATACTCATGGCTTAAAATTATAAGGGATTGGACAAACCTCGATGCCCATGCACTCTAGAGCCACACAAGATCGAAAGGAATGTACCAGAATTGTCGCCAACATCCACTAATTGGATAGGGCACCATAAGAAGAAGAAGAAAGATGTAGTTCGAGAAATATTCTGTATTGCGAGTTAAGTATTTTATTTTATTTGAACTCAGTTAATTTTAAAAAAGCTGTAGATAACAACAAAGGGAGATTTTAACGCCAAAATTGGACGAAAGATGGGACATTTCGATTCGAACTTATGGAATTCCTGGAAGAAAAACATGTACGCTATGAATACCTTTTACAAAAAGAAACCTAAATAAAGTGGACATGGATCACATGTAACGGAATTACCAAAAACAAAATAGACTATTTTCTCTCAAACATCAAAAGAATATTTGAAGACGTTACAACAATAAACAACGTAACAACTGGTAGTGACCATTATATAGTTGGAGCGAAAATAAATATTAACATAAAAGAAAAGAGGAAATGATATTAAAAAAAAACAACGTGAATAGACGCCTTCAAAGTAAGAATAAATATAAAGGAATTCCGAAAGCTCTTAACAGAAGTTCGAATCAGATCCTTCACATAATCAAGACCAAATTAACATTAACAAAAACCTCGGCAGTCGGACTACAGGTCGCAAAGAAAACAAGCACATACTCAAGTATATGTACGTAGAATAATTAGAAAAGAACTAAAATGGAATGAAAACTTCTGAAACGGAACACAATGGAACAAACTTGCTTCAAATAATAAACGGGTTCGAACAAGATCAGAGAACATTATTACTCATTTGCCGGGTGTGAAGCATTATGCTAAACGTGCTTTAGATTGTTGGCAATTGTTTTTTGACCGACAAATGATCGAAGACATAGTGCGCTGGACCAATCTCAAAATTCAACAAAAATCAATTGCATATCAAAATAAATGCATGGTGAAACCAACCAATGAATGTGAAATTAAAGCATTTATCGGACTTCTTTATTTAGCAGGTATGTTTCATTCTAATCGTCAGAATTTGAGAGACTTATGGCAAACAGATGGGACTGGTGTCGATATATTCCACAATACGATGTCTATAAATGGTTTTCAATTCCTGATAGTCTGTCTTCGGTTCGATAACATCGAAAATCGTAAAGACAGATTGGCGATTGACGAATTAGCTCCAGTTCGTGGAATTCTGGACAAATTTATTGAAAATTGTAAGCAGGCCTACACTCCTCAATATGTGACGATAGATGAGAAGTTGGAGTCTTTTCGTGGAGGATGTGCTTTCAAAAAACAGCCAGAAGGTCCCTACAGTGTTAGTAATTATAACTGGAAAAATTATTATTATTATTATTATTATTATATAACAAATAAGGGCAGAGGAGCGAGCTCCTATTATGCCCAAAAAGCAAAAATAAACAAAAATAAAATAGATCCTTATAAAACTAATACTAATTATAAAGTTAAGTAGTTAAACAATTAACGAAAATTGAATTGTGACACAATAAATAAATAAATAATGCTGTCCGAGAAAAAATATCCTATCCTATAAAAAAAATAAAGTGCTGTCAAGTTTATTTTTAAAGATGTTAACACTAGCTGCCGATATGGTGTTTTGTTCCAAATTGTTCCATATATTAAAGATTCTGTTTGGCAAGAAGTTCGCCCTGGACCTTGCAGTAGTTTGTTCCCTCTTTAATTTGTATTGATGGCCTCTTAATCTATCGTCTTCATTCAAAGTAAATATGTTGTTTAGGTTCCCAAAATTATGTTTTAAAATACGGAAGGACATAATTAGGTCACCTCGAAGACGTCGCTGCTCGAATGTCGTAAGATGAGCCATGAATAGTCTATCTTCATAGTTAGGTCTTACACGGCCATATGCCAGTCTTGTGGCTTTACGCTGAACGTTTTCAAGTAGAATTTTATCGCGACTAAGATCTGGATTCCACACTGGTCCGGCAAACTCAAGAATAGGTCTAACGTATATTGAGTAAAGTTTACTAAAAGAGGTTAGAGATATGCGTGCAAAACACTTACGAATCAAAAACAGTTTCGAGTTAGCACGTTTACACACCGACACTATGTGATTAGACCAATTTAAGTCACTATTAATTATCACTCCGAGATCGTTGTGTGAGGTTACAGAGTTTAAAGGATGTCCATTAATAAAGTACGGAAGTGATGGGTTATTTTTGCCGATATGTAAAACAACGCATTTTTCAATGTTAAGCGGAAGTAACCATTCTGAGGACCATTTGAATATTGCGTCAAGATCTTGTTGAAGAATATGTTGGTTAATAGTTGGATTCACATATAACTTAGTGTCATCAGCGTAAATGGAAACCTTACTGGATACAATGAGCGGAAGATCACTAGTGTAGACACAAAAAAGTAGCGGTCCAAGTACTGATCCTTGTGGAACTCCACTCTTGACTGGCTTATCTAATGAGTGGTCTTCCCCAACACGAACCCTGAAGTATCTGTCGGATAGAAAATCTTGTATCCAAATGTTTAATTTTCCGCGGATACCATAGTGATCCAATTTAGCTAGTAATCGACGTTTTGGAACACGATCGAAAGCTTTGGAGAAGTCTAAGTAAACTACATCGACAGGATTCCGATTGTTTAAAGATAATGACCAATCATTTACACAATGAAGTAAGTTTGTGATCGTTGAACGACCTTTGATAAATCCATGCTGTTGGTGAGGGATGACATTTTCTTGAAGAAGGAACTCGGACATAGCTTCCGAAATAATCGATTCCATGACCTTGCTGACAATAGGAACTAGGCTGATTGGACGATAATTATTGCAATCAAGTTTATTACCTTTCTTGAATACAGGAGTAACTGAAGCCAATTTCCAGGACGAGGGGAGGGAACCTTGATTAAAAGAAGCAGTCATTATGAGAGATATAGGGATGGCTACAGAATCTGCACATTGTTTGAGGAAAAAAGAGGTGAGTCCGTCTAATCCAGGTGATGAATTATTTCGCAGTTTCCTTAAATGATATTTAATTTCATCCGGTATGAAAGATATATTGTCAAGAGTTTTAGACAAACGAGGGCACATTATTTGAGGAATGGTATCGTTAGATTCATCTGTAAAAACTTGAGAAAAGAATAACGATAAACATTCCGAAGATTCGTTATTCGAAGAACATAAAGACCCATCAGCTTTTTGAAGCAATGGTATGGAGACTTTAGAAGATAAAGATGTACGAATGTACCGATAAACTTTTTTACTATTACCACTTGCAATGATAGATTCCTCAAATTCTGTTCTTAACTTTAGCAAAGATTGTTTGACTCGGTTAGAAAAATTACGGTGGGCGAGAAAATCATCAGGGGAACCAGTGAGTTTATATCTTCGCCAAAGCTTTCGCTTATGTCGAATTAAATGAGTAGCTGAGAGGTTAATCCAAGGTTTTAGTCGATTTCTATATACCTGCCGTTCGGTTGTATGATCAGAAATTGTTGTAATAGCAGTATGAAGAAAAGAGTCCCACATTAACGATGGATCAGAGTGATTAGGAAAAATAGATTGCCAGTTTATCTGGGATAAAACTGAATTTACATCAAAGAAATTTGTAGTGGCATACGTTACGAAATTATTTTTGCAAGGCGGTGTTAAACTAAATTGAATGTGAGCAGTAATAAGCGAGTGGTCAGAAAGACCTACAGGAGAGGACACTTCAAGTGTAGA